TCCATGTTCTTTTTTTCCACTTTTATGTACATTCTTCATAACAAGGTGAATCATAAATGAAAATTAAAAAATATATATGCATATATTTTATTACTTTTGATAAAACATATTCTGGTTAACAAGACATATTGAAAATAATAATTTTTTTGTAAAGTTTTATTCTGTGCATAATATTATTTTGGCTTATTAAAATAGAATATTACATTTATTTTAAATTTAGTTTGCTAATAAATGCAAAGAATTTAATAAATTAATAAGAGCAATCTTAAGCTTAAATATTCCTATCAAACAATATAATTTACGCAGTGCTAGCTATAAAACGTGAGAAATAAAAAAGTGCTGTTTCGTAAAAAAATCAAATTGATTTTAACTCTGATTCATACGGGTTTATTTGACTCAAATGTAATTTATTTTTTTACTAATATTTTATTTAAAAACTTTTTTAGTATTAGATAACTTCATTTATTAATTTGAGATTTTTCTTCGGTGAAATTTTTAAAATTTTTTAGAACTTAATCATATCCAATCATAAGTTCTAATGTTTCAAAGTTATTTAAATTAAATCTACTTTCACTTGTGGTGTCATGTTTTAGACTGCATGGACTTATCGGACGACTTTCGTAGCATAACTGATCCTCAAAGGGTTATATATTTATCTACAGATTTAAGTCCTCTCTTTTTCAGAGTAATTATTGCTTCTTGCATGAAGTAGCCAATAAAGTAAGTGACACTTTAAATGTTTTATCACTAAAAACGAATTCATAATGACCGCATGCAAAATCGCGATGTCGACGGATTTCTATGAAGCCGTCCCTTTTTTCATCTCGATGCGATGTCTTTCCTTGTCCCCCGTGCGGTCCTTTTTTCGACCCCAAATTCTCAAAACTTAATAAATTTTGAAATAATACCGCGACGAATCGATCACGTGACTGATAAAGACACCGTTCTAAAAATATTCATAAATAAATAAAATCTATTACGTCATGTTTTTAAGATATTTAGCCCAAAAGTACCAAAAAATGATATTTCTGACAACTTTAAATTTTCCCGAAAACCTGACATGATACAGCAATTTTATTTACGAATACATTTTCAGCTACAAAAAATCTAAGAATCACTTGGTTCTATTTGTAATCTATTTGTAATCTAAAATTCGAAAAATTTAATTTGAAGCTAGACTGTTGAGACAAATTCTTAAATTTGTGATAGAAATTCAAATTGACAAAAATGAAAGCGGATCTAATTTAAATAATTTTATTTAAAAAATTAGAACTTATATGAACTCAAACTTTTTTTATTTTTTAGAACTTAATTATATGAATCCAAACGAATTGTAATAGTAAGAAATATAATAAATTTGAATGAACCAAAAAGGTTAAATTCCAAAAATAATAATCTTGAGAAAAAAATATTCCAGATCGTAATATTCTTAATTCTTTTTTAGAATATAAAAGATTTATAGAGAATTTATCGATACATTGAGATATTCTGCTCTTAATAAATTCATTTTATGTAGATAATATTTATTTTTATTCATTTCTACGTCATTTTTATTCATTATTATATAAAATAATTCTATATAATACATAAATGTTATCAGAGAATGTTATTTTATGTATAATCTGTTATCCTAAGTATTATTTTTTTATTATTATTATTATTATTATTATTATTATTATTATTATTGCTGTTATTATTTTATTATTGTACTTAAAAATTTAGAGGTAACATAAAAATAACAATATTAATGCATGAATTAATAAATTGCAGATCGCAAATTTGTTATAAATTTTTATTTCAACGCGACAAGTCCTGCCCAGCAAACGTCCCGAGGACAAACGGAATGGATCAATGTTGCGCATGCTGGCGCATGTGAGATGACGACACGTGAGATGCTGCGTTGTGTCATCTCCGCACTCTGTCCTCTCGTCCTTTCCTCCTTATCGTCACACTTGTCAGTCTGTTAGACAGGAACAGTTAAACAGTTAAACAGTAAAACGCAAAATGAAAGATCACGACGGATCGTCCCATCAAAAAAAGCCTACGAAACTCAGAAATCTCGCGGACAAGACAGAGGCTTTTGATTCTTTGCACGTGAGAAATGCCGAGGTATTTTAGAAAACAACTTTTAATATATTGAACATTGATAACATATGGGGATTAGGGATATTAGAATTAAAATAATGCATTATTTATTATAAGAATTGATTACGAAAGTTTTTGACTAGGAAGTGATGTAAAAAAAGTATATTGAAAATAAATCAAGAAAACTTTTTTATAAAGTTTTATTTTTCCAAAAAATCTTTTTATCTTTTTTTTTTGAAAAATTAAAAAAGATATTTTTTTTTTCCTATGTTTTAATTTTACAGTTTTCTTATAAATATATATA